GCGCCGCGCGCTTCGCGGCGCCGCGCGACGGCGAGGCCGGCGCGCAAGACTGGCCGCGGCGCCTCCGCGGCTTCAAGCTCGGCGCGCGGCTCGCGGACGCGCGGCGCGGCGCCGCGCCGCGCGACGGCGCGTTCGAGGCCTTTTTCGCCGCGCTCGAAACCTACGTCGCGCTCGAGGGCGACGCGGACGTGCCCCAGAAGTTCGTCGTCCCGGACAGCGGCGGGCCCTGGCCGCCCGCGGCGCGCGGGCTCCGCCTCGGCGCGCGCGTCGCCGCCGTGCGGTCCAAGGGCACCTACGTCGGCGGGCGCCGCGGCGCCGGCGACGTCGCGGGCTTGTCGCCCGCGGCGCGCGCGCGGCGGGCGCGGCTCGACGACCTCGGCTTCCTCTGGGTCAAGCGCGGCGCGGCGCGGCCGCGGGCCCGGCCCGCGCCGCCCGAAACCGCGCGCCCGTAGCGCCCGCGTCGACTTAGCCTAGCGCCGGCTCGGGCCGCGCCACTCGTGGATGGGGACGCGCTCGAGCCGCGACGCGGAGCCGAAGAACTCGCGGTGGATCTCGTGGAAGACGTGGTTGCAGCGGCTGTACGTGTTGTGGTGGCGGTCGTCCCAGGGCACGGCGCGCCCGGCGCCGTCGGTCATGGTCCCGTGCGTCGGCGCCTGGCGTGCGACGCTCCCGACTCTGAAAGCCCCCGCGCGTCGGCTCGTGTCCGGACGAGCGATCGTCTCTCGGAGCGCGGAGCGAGCGCGGCGCGGAACCCGCGGAACCACCCGGCGTCGGCCCCGCGGCCGCGCCGCGCGCGTCCGGTCGAGCGTCGCGTGGCACGGGTCGCCGCCTGCGCCGCACGCGCATCTTCGACGCGACTTCGGGCGTCGTCGACCGTCTCGACGCGAGCGCTCGCGCCGTCCGTCGAGACCTCGCCGGGAGGCTGTCCGAACATCAGCCCGAAGCGACTTCGACGCTCGAGGATTCGAGTTCGGTCGGGACGTCCCGGACCGGCGGCCGATGCCCACGCGGGTCGCCGCGGAGGAGGTCGAGCTGCGTCTTCATGGGCCGGGGGTCCTCGGACATGAGGCCGTAGGTCGAGAGGCGCTCGAACTTGCCCTGGACCTTGCCTGCGTGCGGGGCGCGCGGCCGTCGCTCGACGCGCGCGGCGCGCGGCGCCGCGCGCCCCTCGAAGAACCGTCGGACCGGCCGTCGCGGCGCCGGGGTGCGCGCCGAGCCTCCGGGGCATCTCCGCGGCGGCGGTGCGCCTGGGCAGCAAAAGAGAGATTCAACGTCGCTTCAACATGAGTGTTCCGCGCGCGCGCGTTCCGGAAAAAGCATCCGCGCTTCGAGACCGCTCCGAGAGATGATCGCTCGTCCAAAAATCAGCCGAAACGAGTGGAAAACGGCCGAGATATGAGCCTTTGAAGTTGGGAATTTCGCTCTCTTTTGCTGCCCCGCGGTGCGCGGCCGCCGGAAGTACTCGCGGAGCGGCCGCGGGTAGTGGCTGTTGAAGCGGCCGAAGTTGCTCGCCGAGGGGTCGAAGGGGTCCGGCGGCAGGGGCGCCGCGACCCGCGTCCCGCGGCGCAGCGTCGCGGCCGCGGACCTCGCCGCCTCGGCGGTGCGGGGCCGCCGCTTCGCCAGCGACGCCTTGGAGGCGAGGGACCGCGAGCCGACGGACCGCAGGGACGCGCTCCGCGGGGGCGCCCGGGCCTTGGTCGCGAAGGGCAGCGGCCCGGACGCGATGGCCTCGAAGCTGGGGGCGGCCATCGCACGGAGAGCCCCGCGCTAGAGGGCGTATCTTCGTCGTTGCAGCGCGTGGTGCCGCGGGGCAGCTTAGAAGCTCGTCGTTTGCGCGCTTCGGTCGTCCTCGCACACGGTTGACGCGGGCATGGCGCGCCTCGCGCGGTTCCGCCTCGCGGCGGCCCTCGCGGCGGCCCTCGCGGCGGCCCTCGCCGGCGCCCAGACCCCGACCTACGCGCCGTCGCGGAGCCCCGCGCCGACGCCGGAGCCCTCGCGGAGCTTCGCGCCGACGCGGAGCTTCGCCCCGACGCGGAGCCCCGCGCCGACGGCCGCGCCGAACGTCGCGCCGACGCCCGAGCCCCGGGGGAAGCGCGGCGGCTCGAAGGAGTGGTACGAGCGCTGGTGGAACGCGCTCCGGCCCTCGAGCCACCTCGGCCGCCGCGACACGATCATCGCCTGGGGCCTCATCTACGCGTGC